TTTGAGCCCAGGAGTTGGAGGTTGCTGTGAGCTAGATGCCATGGCACTCTACCCAGGGGGATAGCTTGAGGTTCCATCTCAAAAAAACAAACAAACAAAAAAAAACTGTGGATTTATTTTTTTGACCAACTAAGTTGATCTCAGGAATAGGTTGTGTTTATTCTTTCCTAGTCTGTCTTTTGGAGCAAGTCCAGTGAGCTGGCCCATCATTACACGCAGATCCGGAGGGATATGTTCACCCTGGAGGACACGCTGCTGGGCTACCTTGCTGATGAGCTGTCATGGTGCGGAGACTCCGGCACTTCGGGTAAGTGTATGGGCTGAGGGATTGCCCTGCCGTGTGCAGGAGGGACAGGGGGGGAAGGAGTATGGGGGAAGGAGTCACACACCCCACCCTGATCTCTTAATGACAACCCAGGCCGATGTAAAATAGCATTCCCTAGACCAATCCCTGTTTTCTTGAGTTTGGAGTTGGCACACTCCCCAATTCCACCTCCTTTCTGACTGTCATGGAAATTGCTTCTGAATTCTTGGTGTTTTGCTTTCTGTAAAGGCATCATTCAGGAGCAAGGAATTTTAGAGCAAGGTGAGCTCTCAGGAGGATGGAGGCCAAAGTCCTTGTTCCACAGAACCACCACAGTATCCCAGGGTTGGGCTTCTCCACCTCAGGCCAGTTGGTGGTTTGGCCGCCATTTTTGACATGGATCCTTTCCCTGCCTGGAAAGACTCAGAACACTTCGCTGTGGGAAGGTATTTCCTACTCGCAAAACCCCATGGAGCCACTTTTTACTTCTTCTCTTCTTTTTTCTTTTTATCTATGAGGTGGATATTTTTACCTCATATTGTTTTATTCTTATTTTTATTGCTTTTGAATCTGGGTTTTACAGAGCTTGTCTTATCACAGCTGCTTCATCCACGCTTGCATAGTTTCCATTACAAAACATGAAGCACGCTTATTTGAAAAAAAGCGAGTTTTGAAAAAACTCGCATATTACAGAAATGTGTAAAAGTGAAGGTCACCATGCATCCTTCTTCCACCTACAACCCCCATTTCATGTCGCAAAGGGTGACTGTTATCAACAACTCGGCACAGGTCCTTCCAGACCTTTCCTCTTTGTCTATATGAGCATGTATATGGTAGGACCTCGGCGAGTGGAACTCCCAAGGGACTGTTACAAACTGGTCAACATACAGAGGTGGTCACCATAAGGAACTAGGCCTGCTGCATTCTACATACATGTGGTGCATGTCTGGTCTACAAAAAATTAGGTCAACTTAAGGAGGTGGTCAGTGGAGGGAGGTGGTCAGCTAAGGAGGTTCCTCTGTGTCTAAAATGTACACATATAGTTCTGCAACTTGCATTATTCACATAAAATTAATAGATATAAAGATACTCATATTCTTTGTAAAAGGATTTATCATTAACCAGTCTTATTAATGGACATTTAAGTTGTTTTCAGTTTTATTGCTGTTAGAACCAACCAGTGGCATGGTTGAAGGGAGACCATTCTTCCTACCCTTCCAATTTAGTTTTCACTCAGTTCTATGGACCATATGGTGTCTCCATCTTGTTTCCAAGTCACCATGTCTTGGTGTTTATCTTCCCTCCCTTTCTTACTCTCCTATAGCCTATAAATGGCCAGCCTAATCTATTTGCCTGGCAATTCACCCTTTCCTTCCATCCTGTTACCACTGCCTGAGTCAGCATGCTAACACACTCTCCTGTCTTGCTGGGACTGCTGCAGAATTCTTATCACTTCTTACCCCTCCAGTCATCTTGCATGCACAGTGTTCTTCCTAAGATGAAAATGTGACTGTATCCATCTCCTCCCTTAAACTTGAATAGCTCTCTTTCACCTCTAGGGTAAAGCTTAAATTCCTTGGTATGACCTGGCTCTGTCTTTTACACACCTCATCTTTCATCATTTCCCTCCCTACCCCTCAAGGCTCTAGAAGTACTAACTAAACCTACTAGGTCGTCTCAAAGCTCTGTGCCTTTCCACACATCTTCTCTATCCCATTTGTCTGAAGACTCCAATTCATTCTTCAAAACCGAGTTCACCATCAACTTTCCCTGGTGGGGCTGTACAACTCTCCAACCCAAGTTTATTTCTCTTTGGTTGATTTGATTACATTACATCTCTGAAGGCGGGACTCCCACCTAATTTGTTTCTCTATCGCCAAGACCTAATAAATATTTGTGCATTAAGGTAGATATCCATGGGAGAAATGACACAGGAACTATGAGTTCATGCTCTGTGTCCACTGTCCCTCACTGAGGGACAAAGCTGTCTTGACAGTGGTGAATGTAGGAGGACTCTGAGCCCGCATGAGCCTAAAAGTATGGAGATTTAGCAAGGTGAGGGAGGAAACACACAACAGGAGAGAGTTGTCTGGAAAAGAGAAGTAGTTGGCAAGGGTGACCCCTGAAGGCCTGGTTTTATCTCATTCTTCCTGGATTTGAGGATACTGTTGAGGGCTTGTCTCTATCTGTTGAACTTTGCTGCTGTTTCCCAGAATGATGACTCAAAGTCACCACTATGTTCCTTTCTGGGATTTGGAAGGTAAGGGAGGACTTGGAAGGGATTCAGGGACACTTAGTTAAATTAGGTCTAGATGTGTCCATTTTCCACCTCCATCCTGGCAATGACACCATGGGAAAATAGTTCCACTGTGGTCGAACAGCCAAGGAAGAATGGAGCTTGTTTATGCTCTTTCTTTTCCAGTTTAATTATTTTCTACAAACTATGTCTTTTAGAAATGAACTATCAATCTTGCCCACACCGGAGGAAAGATTGCCCAAACAACCCTGTGTCAGTATTCTGGAAACTGGTTTCCTGGAGGGTAAGTACCAAGTAGCGAAATTCTAGAACTCTGGAGACCAAAGAAATTCAGATGTCATCCAGTCAATGGTTGGTTTTAATCCTTTGCGGATCACAGATCCTTTTATGAATCAAAGTGTAGGCTAGGATTCCTTCTTCTGATAAAGGTTTAGAAGACATTCCAGGAGATTTGCACGTGCAATTTTAGAGCAAAGGGTCGGTGGACTCCCACTGAAGAATCTCTGCTCTTATGCATTCTTTGGCTGCCAAGAAGGTGGGGCTTTGTTGAATCATCTGAGCCCAGAGAGGGTCAACCTTAGATTCCTGGAAAAGTCTTAAAAATCTTCATTTATGACCAGTATGTGTTAGGTGCAGTCCATAGCTCTTCACATGAATTAAAATCTTTGTCTTCACAAAACCCCTCTGAAGAGGTGCCTTGAGTACCACGCCCACCTTACAGATGACCAAATGGAGTTACAGGCATGTAATCAATCTACCAAGTGCACACAGTAAGGGGCAGGTCTGGGGGTTTATCCTAAATTGTCTGCTCCAGATCTAGAATCTGAGGTGGGGAATACCCACCACCCCATCTTCAGCTATTCTGACTTCACTCAAAACTGCCTGACACATTTATTTCTCTTGTAAGTTGCTTCTTTGCAAGTGGGCAAGGAAAATCTTATTTGTAAGTGCACTAAGGAAAAAAGAGACAGGAAGGAAGAAATGAGAAAGAACAAGGGCAAGGGAGTAAAAATATGCTAAGTATAACTTCCCCAAGTTAAACTTAGACAGCTGAGGAGCTAGCACAGGTAGAAACTTGCATGTATCCAGTCTAGTTGTGCTGCCATAACAAAATACCTGAGACACGGTCATTTATAAAGAAAAGAAATTTATTTTCTCACAGTCCTGGAGACTGGTAAGTCTAGCATTGAGGTGCCAGAATTCGATGTCCGGCAAAGGTTCCAGTTTGTTTCTGAGATGGTGACTCTCACTGTGTTCTTATGTGGCAGAAGGACAAAAAGGGCCTTGCTGGTTTCCTTGAGCCATTTCATAAGAGCACTAATCCCATCTGAGAGGGTGGAGCCCTTATGTCCTAATCACCTCCTAAAGGCCCATCTCTTAATACTGTCACATTGGGTCTTAGGTTCCAGCGTATCAATTTAGGGCGAGACATATACATTCAAACCATAGCGGCATATTTGTGAGAAGCCCTGAGTTGTCTTCCCTGTGCCATTCCCATCTAGTCCTCCCAACTGGTACTGTGAGAAGGTACAGACCCCCATGTTGAAGGTGAAGAAGCTAAGACTCAGAAAGTCAGTGACTCCTGCCAGGTCACTGGGCTAGTAAGTGGCAGGCCTGAGAGCCCCACCTGGGTCTGCCTCATCCCAAAGCCTGCTCCTCAATTTTAGTTTTAAAATTTGCTTATTGATTCTGTCTTTTAAATAGAAGCCTTGATTTTCTTCAACTCCCTATTGGCACTGAACTAAACCTCCACCCTAAGGGAATTCAGGTCAACCCTGTTATGGCAGAGACAGGGAAATAGCTTGGGAAGTGAAGTTAGGAAACCAGATTTAAATTTGGGTGGATTTCTTAACCATTCTGATGTTCAGATTCTTCATTTGTTGAAAGGAGATCAAAATATGCCTGTCTCATAGGGTCTCTATGGCGTTTAAGTAAGATACTACTATCCCCTTGTGTAACTCAGAATCTAGCCATCCATTGTGGAGTATCTGCTATGGGCACTGTAGAGTTTGTACTTGTGTCCGAGAATAGTGTTTATTTATTTCATTACTGCATGTTCCAGGGCTGTGCTGTTGATAAAACTTTTAAAGCCAAGTCACACTTTATATGTATGAAGTACTTCCCTGTGTCCCGTGCTCAGCCCTTGACACTAGGAGGTGCAGGCGATGGAAGTGCCCTGCCATTGTGACCTCCCTGCTCCCTTATATTTGCTAATCACTGGAGAACATATCTGGATGCCCTTCTTTTGTCAGACTGTCCCCTTTATTTTTCTGACAATAAAGGCTGTATTTCTTGATGGTGCGATTTCCACCTCACTTCCATACTTCCAAGTAACGTGACCTTAACATAAATTGATCCAACACTTACCTTGGGAGTAGAGAGAACCATAGGTGGCACCCTGGAAGCTCTCTTTTGAGTTAGGACTTGTGATTAATAGCAGCTGGGTTCCATCCCTCAGGTCACCGCCCACAGGGGAAGGGCAGAAGCAACACTGGATTTGGCTCCAAATCCTTAGTGCTGTTCATATCACCTGCAGAGTCAAGTCCAGATTGATGGCCCTCCAGGAACCAACTGTCTACCCAACTTTCCTCTAACACACCACCATTCTCTTAACCTCTGGGCCTTTCCTTTCACTTCTGCCTCAGCCCTGCCTCCTGAATCCCTGTGTATCCTTTAGGGCGTGGCCTCAGTGCCTTCGGTCACTCTTTTCCTGTTCTTTCCCAATCTCTGCCACAGAGCATTGCCTTTCTTTCTTCCTCTTTCCCTCCTCCCCGTCTCCTTTTTCTCCCACAGATTTTTATCGGGCACCTTTTCTGAGCAATGTGCCAGTACAGGCATCCGGAACTGCAGAGGCTCATGGCTCTCCTGGAGCCCTTAGTGCTGAAGGCTAAACAGACTTTAAGCTCATGTCACAGTGCAATGGAGTTTGACAGGGAATAGGATGTGGGATACCGCAGGGTTCAGAGAAGGGGACTGAAGCGGGTCCCAGGGGCTGGGAAGGCCTCCTGGAGGAAGCATGTCGATGGCTTTATTTCGTCCATTTTGTTTTCTCCGGTGCTAGCAATCAGTCCTGTTGAGTATTTGTTGCATGAAGAAATAAAAATTCCTTTTTGACCACATTCCTTCCTTCCTTCCTTCAACCCCCCTTTCTCTTTGTGCCCTTCCATGCCTCAAGGTCACCTTCTTTCACCCCAGTATCCCCTTTTGTGGTTGTTCCCATTTCTCTTACCCTGTTCCCATTAGATGAAGGGGTCTTCTGACTTTTAAGCCACTGAATTTAGCAGCACAGTGAATGATGATACTGCACTTCATGGTTGAATACTTACAGATTGGAGCAACCACTTCAAGAACCGTCACATGAGGCATAACCCCTTCACCGGCTTGGGATGAACATGATATAATCTGACATTCGGTGCTGTAACCCTACGGATATTACCTCCTTAACCAGCTATTGCTAAGCACTGTTTTGAATGGAACTGCTGGGGCAGGGGGTAATATTTTCAGGCTAAGGAACAGTGGGCATTTGTCTTTTAAGTTTGCAGAAGCTGCCTGTGGCGTGGTCCAAGTCGTGCTCAATGGCTCCGTCAGTAACACCTTTGACAGAAACAGGTACTCATTTCTCTGCATCCTACTGTCAAGGGTCAACACAGCCTCCTGTGGGGGTATTTCAGCCCTAGAAAGAGTGTGCTTATCCTGTTTCAGGTCAGTTCTGAAGATCTGGGCTGAAAAGGTATAAATTGTATATTTTCTGGAAAGGTTTGTCTAAGCCAATGCTTTTGTCTCATTTCTCCTTTGCCTAAAAATCCTCTTGCAGCCCTCGGGACCCCCTGCACTGCATCAACCCCTGCTCTGGTGTTCTCAGGGCCTGGTGTAATTTTCTCAGCGGTCTGTCTTGTTTTACTCCACCCTGCCCACTGCCCACCTCTGTTCACACAGCTCCTCTGTGTGACCTGCCTCGCCTGCCCCCTTCCACCCATCTTAGTCTGCACCATCCATGAAGAACTTGCCTGACTCCTCTCTCCTGCACAAAGGGTGTGCCTCCCCGTTCAGCAGTGAAACTGCTGTCCGGACGTCAGGAACTGGACGGGACTCCCAGCCTCCTTTATCCTGTGCAGGCCTTGTCAGCAATGCCCTGGAGTGGTTAGGAGCAATGTTCCAGAGGACATTGTGTCCTGCCTCTGTGACCTTAGATGAGGCATCTCACTTTGTGAGCTCCTGCATATGTACCTGAAGAGGCCATGGTGATATGAAGATTAACAGAGCTAATGCCTGAAAAATGCTAAGCCTTTTTTTTTTGAGACAGAGTCTTGCTCTGTCTCCCTGAGTTGAGTGCCATGGTGTCATAGCTCACAGTAACCTCAGGCTCTTGGGCTCAAGTGCCCCCTTTCCCCTGCCTCAACCTCCAGGGTAGCTGGAACTACAGGCGCCCACCACAATGCCCAGCTAGTTTTTCTGTTTTTAGTAGAGATGAGGTCTCACTCTTGCTCAGGGTGATCTCAAACTCCTGAGCTCAAGGGATCCTCTAGCCTTGACTTCTCAGAGTGCTAGGATTATAGGCATGAGCCACCAAGCCTGAAAAATGCTGAGTTCTATGCCTAACAGCAGTGGAAGTGCTCTACGAGGATCAATTACTGTTCCCTCACTTCATCCTCACCGCTGAGACTGGCCACACCCATGTCCTCCCCGTCTGACCTCCTTCTGTGCTTATAGCCTTACCACATTGATTGCCTTTTTGACCTTTGGTCTCTAATCTTTCCCCATCAAGGCTGATGAGGGAAAGGAGCACATATTAATTTGTCCTGGGAACACTAGGTACCCAAAATTAATTTTTCTTCTCTCCTGTTTTGATATTTAATTCCACAAAGAAGCCTTTGTCCTTTGGTTTTCTTCTGATCCCAGTATTTTGGGTGAAAGCATTAACATCCCAGCATTTTATAATCCGATAGTAGGGTTCAGCTATTTGCAGCAGGAGGGGCAGCTGTCAGAGACTGGCAGGGAAGCATTGAGGAGTGGGACAGGAGCAGGCCCCCAGGGTCTTGCAGAGCACTGCTGCTCAGAGTTCACTGGGCAGGTGAATCACCTGGGGATTGTTCAGCTGTGGATTAATGCAGCAGGTGGGGGTGAGATTCTGCAGGTCTAACTAGATCCCAGGTGTTGCTAATTATGTTGGTTTAAGGCAGTGTTTTTCAACCTTTTAAAAAAAAAATCTCACAGCACACTGGAACCTATAGCTAAACTTCCACAACACACTTAAATTAAGTCGATAAAAAAAGAATAAAAAAAGGAATATGCTTACTGTGCTTTGGACTTAGTTAGAAAATAGTTTAATTAATGATCTTTAAAAATTGCCGGAGCACACCTAAGATCCTCTCACAGGGCACACCGTTGAAAAATCACTGGTTTAAGGACTTCTCTTTGAATATCAAGTATTTAATGAATCAATGCCAATGTATGCATGAAGAATCTTATCTTGAGAATTTTGTTAATTGAGGGTCACTTAGCATGAGAGAAAGTGACTGTTTCTAATGCTAATCGTGGGTCAGTTTCAGAGGGTAGGTGTAACCAGTGGCATGTGCCTACTGGTTTTTAAGGGGGGTATGGATGTTTTAGTTGGGGTTGACAACAGTGTTCTTTGTCTCTTCGATTTTAGCACTTTCGGAAGTGTGGAAATCTTCCATTTGAATCCAGAAAAGGTTCATACACTACAGGCCTGGGTGATGCATGATGTCGGAGGAGGTCCCAGGTATATCTTACTACTTTGTACCCAAGGGTTATTTTATGAAGTAGTCCAAGAAAGAATACGCAATCTTAAGAATGCATTGGGAACAAACTAGTTCCGGGAATGAATGGGGCCTTGTGCTTCATTTCACCCATCCCAACTGCCTCTTATTTATTTATTTATTTTTATTAAATCATAGCTGTGTACATTAACGCAATCATGGGGTACAATGTGCTGGTTTTACACACAATCTGAAATGTTTTCATCAAACTGGTTGACACAGCCTTCACAGCATTTTCTTAGTTATTATGTTAAGACATTTATATTCTACACCTAGTGAATTTATCCACCCTAGGTGTGGTCCCACGAATTACTCTCCCTCCACCCACCCTCCTCCCTCCCCTCTCTCTCCCCTTTATCTCCACACTGGGCAGCTACCCGCTTCCCACCTGTCGTCCCCCTGCTGCCCTGGGAGCAGGCCACACATCTGTTTCACCTATCTATGGTATGGCCTTGTCCAAGGCCTGCTACCAAAAAAAAGATAGAAACTAAAAGTCTCAAGAAATGTTGTGAGACGGTGTAATTTTAATATTTTCTTCTTTCTTTCCCAGTGAATCATGCCAGCGTCCCCCCTTAAGTGACCTGAAATTGATTATAAGCAAAAGGAATATGACATTTATCTGCCATGATAACTACAGGTAATTGATTTCTTCTTGTGGAAAAAATGGCTGCCACGCCATCTATAGGGACTTTCTTTTTCCTTGGTCTCCTCCAAGCTGGGAGGGCTGTATGAATCTCTCTTGGGCTGTGATGAGGATCTCAGATGGTGACCTGTGGTGATCTATGCCTCCCCCTAGCAGCCTAGCCCAGCAGGCTTTCCTGGCCGGTGGTCTTCACTTGGCTGTCCGTCTTCTGCTCCATCCTCGTGTCCGTTCCGTACCGGCCTCCAGCAGGACTTGCTCTGAAGCTCACTTAGACTTTAAGGGTATTTCCTAGTTCCTAGTGTGAGTGGCCTGGCCCAGGCTTGTGCTTGCAGGAGAACACAGTGTTATTTTCCTAACAGGTTTCTCCTAGGTTGTAAAATCCTTGTCAGTTGCCACAGTTTTACATGTGAAGTTTCCTCAGTTAAATCTGGGTGTAGATGCCTAACTTGGTAAGATGCCACGTGACAGTCTACCAAGATTTACTTTTTATAGATTTAAAAAAATGGCCAGATATGGTGGCTCACGCCTATAATCATAGCACTCTGAGAGGCAGAGGTGAGTGGATTGCTTGAGCTCAGGAGTTTGAAACCAGCCTGAGCAAGAGCAAGACATCCTCTCTACTAAAAATAGAAAAACTGGCTGGACACCATGGCAGGCACCTGTAGTCCCAGCTACTTGGGAGGCTAAGGCAGGAAGATCACTTGAGCCCAAGAGTGTGAGGTTGGCTGTGAGCTATGATACCATGGTACTCTAGCCAGGGTGACAGAGTGAGACTCTCTCTTCTCTCTCTCTCTCTATATATATATGATTAAAAAATGTAAAATTAAAAAAATAATAGTAATCCATGTTTATTGGAGAAAAGTTTTAAGTTAAAGGTAAGCATATATATTTTTAAGTCACCTGTAACTCTATTTTCAAACTGGAGATCCCATATAAATGCACTCATTTTTAAGTAGTGCCCAGTGAGATAGCTAGAGTTTCCTGTGTGTGATAACTTAGACTGATGCAGAAAGAAAATGCTTTTCAAAGAATGCAGAAGCTAAAATGCTAGAATATTTTTCCTTCCTCCTTCATGTCACCACTCTCCCACCAACCAAAGGCAGGAGGATTAGATACAAGAGACTGTCACTAATGGCTCCTGTTCTCCAAATGACCTGAAGTCTCTATCAGTCAGCTGGCTTGTGTCTGGAGACTGCCAGGAATTGCATAAGCGTTCCATAGAGGTTGGGTGGGAAAAGCAACCAGGAGAGGAACCCTGTAGACATCTGACTGGTCTCAGTTATTCAAATATATACATATACACAGATAATACATATTATCTATAATATATTAGAACATGATTATGTGGGGGATCCCAGGTTACCATATTGCTGAGGATGGAGTGACCCGTTTTACCTAGAGCCACTGCCCCCAACTGGTCATGACTGTTGGCTAGAGATGCACAAGGGCAGCTTCTGACATCTCTCCCTTCTGGAGCCCAGGAGTGCTGGCAGCTATGTCTGAGGATGTGTCTCTTGCTTTACTCACATTTAGCAAGGTCAGATTTAGCTGCAACATAATGGCCCGCTATGGGCCAGCAACTCCATGGGATCCTGTCGCTTTGTTATCTGATTTTTAGAAAAATAATAGTCATTCACTTGTTAGATATTTACCTAAGGTTGGTGCAAAGGAAGTGTGACATCTTGCTGACATCCTCCAGCCTTCTCCCAGAACATCTGTCGCCCCTGTGCTGGCTCTGACCCTTTGGTCCAGCCCTCCCTCAGGAAGTTTCTGCAGAGGGGAAAATGAGCTATCCACAGAAGCTAGGCGGCGTGCCTGCTCTTGGTTGCTAGTTCTGCTTTTTATCATCAGTTGGCATTGATAGCTCAGGTGTGTGACATGTTAGAGCCAGACATTGGTTCTCACCTCCACACACATAGCACCACCAAAATGCTTCTCACTCTGTCTTTCTTTCTGTCTTCTTCATCGTCATCTTCTTCTTCATCTTCTCTTTGTCACCCTGGGTGGAGTGCCATGATGTCATGTCATCGCATAGCTCATAGCAACATCAAAACTCTTGGGCTCAAGTGACCATCTTGTTTCAGCCTCCAGAGCAACTGGGACTACAAGTGTGCACCACCATGCCTGGCTAGTTTTTCTATTTTTGGTAGAGACAGGGTCTCACTCTTACTCAGGCTGGTCTTCAACTCCTGAGCTCAAGTGACCCACCCATCTCGGCCTCCCGGAGTATTAAGATTTTAGGTGTGAGCCACCATTCCTGGGCTCAGTATTGATTGATCTGAAACTAAATTGGGCCACACATCAAATCATTTCTCCGTCATGTTATTGTAGGAGATGTGAAGTGGTCAGTTCATACTTTTGTTGCTAACGAAAGGACTTCTTTCTTTTTCTTTTTTTTAAATTTTGGATTAATATGAGGGTCCATGTGATTAGGTTACATTGTTTGCATTTGTAAGGTAAAGTCAGTTGTAGTTGAGCCCTCCCCCCAGGTATGCCATATAACCTCTACATCATTCCCATTAGATGGGAACTTAACGAACTCTCCCCACTCCCCTTTTTGAATTTAACTGTGTTTTTCTCTCCTGTGGGCCTATAGTTGTTCATCTGCTAGTTTCAACTTAGTATGGAGTACCTGGGATGCTTGCTTTTTCCATTCTTGAGATATTTTGCTAAAGGGAATGTTCTTCAACTCTGTCCAAGTAAATACAAATGATATAAAGTCTGCATCTTTTTAATGCCTGAATAGTACTCATGGTACACATATACCACAGTTTGTTAATCCATTCATGTGTTGGAGGGCAGTTGGGTTGTTTCCATATCTTTTCAACTGTGAACTGAGTTACAATAAACTTTTGAGTACAAATGTGTTTATGATAAAATGATTGTTTTCCTCCTGGGTAGATACCTGTGGGATGGTGGGAATGAATGGAAGGTCTACTTTTAGCTCTTTGAGGAAAGGACTTCTTTCATTAGTGAACTGAACCACAGGTGTCTCATGCGGCCTCTTGATCTTCCCTTCTGCTTTCTTGTCACAGGGTCATCAGGTTCATTCAATGTGTGCAGAATCCTGAACATGCCTCCTGTAGCTGAGCCATCCATCATGGTCATTTCAGCTCGTTGCTAAAATGATTGTCCACTGACACGTGTCACTCAGCAGACTCACTAGTAGAGACGTGAAGATTTTGGAGGGTCCTCTGTCATATCATCCACACTTAGAGATGGAACCCTTTTGTCCCAAAGCCTTAGAACAACTTATGTTATCACAGTGCTTTTAGGGTGATCTACTAATATTCAATTTAAAAAATTATTGTATAAAGTTAGAACAAATGTTTTATACAGGGCAGCCATATAATGTGTGCAATTTAAAATTGTTGTTTATCTTAAATCGCACACGAACTTTATGGCCTCCCTGTATTATTTCATTTTTATGTGATGTTTTCATGTTGTTTTTATACTGGTAATATTCTTGCTGTTAACAAATGACCACAACAACCCTCTCCTCTTAGAACAAGCAAGCAAAAATAAATAGCAAATAAATAAATAAATAAATGCCTGGGTTTTTCAGAAAATGTCACATTTCCAATGACTTTGTCTCATAATATATTTTTGTGCCCTTCCTACAGATAGTCACGTTGCAAGCTCCATGGCCATGGATCATGCTGGGGAACAGTATTTCATAGGATATAAGCTACTCATGGACTTGGTGCTGTTACTTCTAACCTTTCTAACAGTGCTGTGAGGCTGGTATGATAATAATATTTCATTTTTTATGTGAAAAAAAATGGAAGCTCAAAGAGGTTACATAATTTGCCCAAAATTCATACGTTTAGTATCAAGGTAGAGCCTAGAGTTGAACTTAACTCTGTCCAACTTCAAAGCACATGTTTTCTCCTCTCTCTTTCTATAATACCAACTTGACAGTAGCTTGCGTTCCCTCCCAACAATGCCTGTTGGATTAATTTGAATACAATACGATCTGGAATGTTATTCTTCTGGATGGCCTCAAAACAGATGCTCTTTTTTCTCTTCTTCTTCCTCCCATCCTTATATAGTGTCTTATGTATGTACTACATAATACACAGTTAAGATGTATTTGTTCCTGATAGCGGTAATTTATGTTTCTTCCCTTTTTCTTAGATTGTTCTTGCTTAGGATTTATCAATTTTATTACCTTTTCAAAGAACCAACCTCTAGGGTTGATAATTCTTTTTATTTTTACTTAATTGCTTTATGCTCTTCTCTTTACTATTAGAAATATAGAAATTCTTTCTAATTCTTTAGATATATCTATTTAGCTTCTAGAGATGAAAGTTAGATCATTTTTTTTACCCTTTTCTTTTTTTTTTTTTTTTTTTT